TGTGGAACGCCTAAATATCGCCGAATCTATGTTGTGTTTGCCAAATTTTGGCCGATTTTGTCTTTAAAAATATTTGCAAAAGGGCGTCTCGGGGCGACCTGGGGGCGGCGGCTGGGAACCCGATCGCCCCCCACGCCGAAAATATCGTCGGTTCGCCCCCAACCGGCGCTTTTTTCTAGCGGGGAGGGGGGGGGGGGAAGGCTAACGGCTGAGATGCTCTTAGGCTCGTTCGGTTTGGAGGATTTTCATAGGAAAAACATAGGAACAAGGATTTGAAAGAAACTTTTCTATATATGCATTTGGTTTGTAGGAAATGCGTAAAAGAATTTCGTAGGAGTACTACTTATTTCCTGTGTTTTTGAAAGAAACTACAGATCCACTCAAAACTTATTTTGCGCATAGGAACGAGGCAAAGTCAATTTCTTAGAATTTACTTCCTACGTTTTGATTTCATCCAAACCGAATGGGCCCCTATAGTATAGAATTCGTCAAACCATAGTACTATGAAAATACTTGGGAAGAGAAATCAAACATCGGATTCTCAAGTGTTCTCTTTTCGTGAATATGCAAAGCTTATATATGATTTCATTGTTAAGTAAGTTTAGACGACACATGACACAGACGCAATAATTGCAATAGGCGTGACGATGATTCCCAAGTGCTTCGTGCACTGTTTGAAGTTTTAGCTTCTTGTGCTAAAAAAAACATTTCTTATGAGGTACATAGATAATGTGGAGTTGTTAGGGCCTATTTGGTTCCAATAAGTCACCTGACTTATAAGTCAGGTGACAACCAAACAGGCGTGACTTGTCACCTGACTTATAAGTCACCTGACTACACCTTTTTACACCAATCCACATCATGTAAATGGTGGGACCTACGTAAAAGGGGATGACTTATAAGTTTTAAGTTGAGGTGAAGCAACTTATGACTTATAAGTTGGGGTGACTTATAAGTTAGACCTATTTGACAAAATAAGTTACTTTTTTCACTTTTCGACTTATAAGTTAGTGACTTATTTAAAATCAAACAGGCCCTTATTATCTCACCGAGCGGTAGCTTTCTCGTCGGATTGCTCCTACGAACTGCGGCGATCAGATCAGGGGTTTACTTGCTTGTCATCCGCTTCGATGATGGGACGACGTAACCACTCGCGACACGTGCGATGCGTTTTCCCACTTGACAAAGAAAACCATTCCAGATCACATTTTCGACCAGATCTGTGCACCAACATCGCGATACGGATCGTCGTAGCGCGACGACGTCTGTCAAGTTGCTGCAAATAAAAGAGCCCGCTGCGGTTGTGGTTGTGGTTGTGGACGGGGCAGATGAGATCGAAAATGCATGCATAGCGAGGTCCGCACGGGTCACGTGTGTAGGAGTACTTGAACTGAACTGAAATGAAATATAATTTCTTTTTCTCGGTCAGACGTATGCGTCCTCGATCAACACGATAGAATAGAAGGATCCGATCTGGGTTTGGCTGAAGAGAGAAGAGGGGCGCTGGTCTGCCTCGTTGTCTAGGGCCAACCAATGGGTCGCACTCGCACATGCTCCTCGTCTCGTCCAGTCGTCTGCCGCGCAAAGTATTCCCGGGATGAAGAGTGGGGGACGAACACGTGGTTGTTTTTTGTCCGTTTCTGAAGTCTGAACCCCAGATCACGCAGCACTGCACCGGTATATTGCTCTCGGGAGAAAAATTGACGGGGAAAATTGCTCTCGGAAAGTGAAGAAACCTGCTGTAGAATTAGACGGTTCCTTTCATTGACAGTGGTTTTGAATTGGGAAAAGCGGGTAGATTTGTTTCTAGCTCGCGGTCGATGTCAGGTGGAAAACCGGTACGTGGAGGCGGCCCACGCGTTTGACTAGGACCGGGTAAAGGGAAAGCCACGGAAGACGGAACGGAGGAGTCGGTGTAGTTTGTCCGGCGGCTATCTTCGTACTCCTCCAACCAACCCCTGTTTCATTTCATACCCGAGAAAGAGAAACAGCAAAGCCCTGGAGTCAGTGCCGGTCCAAGGTTCAGACATCGTCTCCACACCCCTTTCTTTCTTTCTTTCTTTCTTCTTTCTGCGCGGCATATCACAGTCAGCTTCGAGATGTGTTACAACATGAGGCCCATGTCATCACCTTTTACTTCCGGAAAAACATTTGTTTCACTTCCGGAAAAACATTTGTTTCCGGGTCATGGTCAAGAATGCACAGCTCGAGAGCTCAACAAGGGTCACCCTGGGACTGAGACCTTTTTACTTGCGTTTGCGAACTAAGCTGCAAGTCAACGGAGATGAACCAGCCACATCACATGTGTATCAGATCGGATCGCTCCAACCTCAACTTGTCACTCGGGTAACAAAACTGCTTCTTTCGATGCTCAGTATAGTACTACTCCAGCAAATAACCATGCAGTCAGGCCAACTCCACCGCGCGATCCCATCCCGTCCGATCCCGTCCGTTTGTGGTAAAATAGACAAACCGGTCGGCTCTGCGCGCGACGGCCCGAACCCATCCTGTCCGTTTTGTGTCCGGACCGACCATTTCAAGCGCAAACATGCGCCGGTTTTGGGTCGCGGCGGACAACAAACAGACACGCGCTCGTCTGCGTCGGGGCCGCGTGGCAGGCGACCACCTACCTTCTACCCGCCAACATTAATGCGCACGCGTGGCCGGGCCCGCCTGTCATCCGCCCAGGGAAACATCACGGTCGTTCTTAAATGCGGAAGTCGTGGACCGATCGTCGTCCACACTCCCCACTCCATCCTGCGGCCTCCTCGAAACCCGCCACTCCCAAACCCTGGCCTCGAACTCGCCGGCTGGCCGCCTCGCAGCCATGGGCCTGTGGGACTACGGCCGCAAGGGGAAGCACGACCGCGAGGCTGGCTCCTCGTCGGAACGCCGCCGCTGCTCTGTGAAAAAGGAGGCCGCATCGCCCCCGTGCCTGCCCCTTTCACCATCGCCCCTAGGCCCACCGGCGAGCGCGACCGGCAGTACCTCAGTGTCGATGTGTGCCGGCGCTACTGGGAGACGAGGACGCCGGTCCCGTGGAGTAACGTCCACCTCCCCAACAATTGGCACCTCTCCGCCGACCGGGTCCCGATCCCACCGGTGCCAACGAGCGGCCGTGTGCGCCGCGATGAGATCGAGCGCCGCCGCCGCCTCCTCCCCGACGACCTCTACTTCGACAATAGGTACGCCCCCGAGGCACCTGGCTCCAGGACAAGCACGACACGCTCCGCGCGTCCTACTTCGCCGGCACGACGTCGGGAGGTGCGCGGGCGTACACAGGTGCGCGGCCTCACGCCCACGCCGTCGCCTTCCCCGTCTCCGTCACCACCTCCACCTCCTCGCATGACAGCGGAGGAGGCCCGGCTCATGCAGCGTGTCATGGAGGACTCCATGAACACACATGATGAGCGCCAATGGCGGGGCCTAGAGGAGACGATGGCCCTCTCTGCGGCCGGCGACGTTGCCATCCCCGAGCTGGATATGGTGGCGACGGAGGAGGCGATGGAGGACGCGTCGGTGGCCGCGTTCCACCCGGATCTGGTGGGCCAGCAGTGGAGCTGGTCGTGCACAGCTCCGGAGATGGCCGACGCCATGGGGAGCGTGAACTGGTGCCCCACGCCGCCGCGGTCACCGGAGCGGGAGGCCTCGCCACGGGAGGAGGTGGTGCAGGCACCTCCGGCCTTCCAGCCCGCCCCCGTGTACCACGCGCCGCCGTCCCACCTCTGGACGCCGCCGGCCTACGTCGACCTCGTAAGCGACGACGACGACACCGACGGACACTGAAGACGACGACGGCCATGGCATCGAGGGACGCGGCAGGAACGTGCGGGCGGCGTTTTTTTATGTTAATTATAGCACTAGACCGTTAAATGAACTGTTAAACTCGGCCGTTTTGTGGCCGTGACCCCTAACTAATGTTTTATGTTTTCTTAACCGTGTTTATTTACTTTTTTAGTCATTTTATTTACGTTTTTCTGTTTGTTTTTTAATCACGTCCAATGCGGACATGATTTGGGGTGCGATCGCGCGGTAGGCGCACGCACGATCCAACACGGACATGATTTGGGGTGCGACCGCGCGGTAGGTGCACGCACGATCCAACAGACAAGAACAAACACGGGCGAACCCATTGCCGCCTCAAAGGGATGGGCGAACCCATTGCCGCCTCAAAAGGACAAAATCCAGCCAAACCGGACATCCATTTGAAGTCGTGGTGAAGTTGGCCTGGAGCAGAAGCATCCGGCGACAGGGACATTGGCAAAGCAGCCGCCTCTCATCCATAGCAGCCCCGTGTGTCCCTTAGCGAAACGAGGGAGATATTTTATGTTATTAGCAAATACACTAAGCCTGTGAGGCTGCGATTATGCAGATATTTTAGACCTTCCCGTCAAAAGCATCCACTCAGCACCATCTTGCTGCCCCACGCCCACTGGCCACTGAAAATGCATGCTACTTTGCGACTTACCATCGCTGCAACACTCATAATCTTTACTAGTTTCTCACGAGGGAACATCATAAGAATTTGCTGCAGAAAAGCAAAACAAAGCGATGACATCATCCCGCGCAAACAGGATAACATAATGCAAACAGGAGTAGTAACTAAAGTTTGAAGCCAACATGCTTTATTGGTAATTTTCCGGTCAACTCAAGCCATCTTCCCACGAAGATGCTACTGTATATCAGTATAAACAACATGGGCCCTGTCATTTCCTCCGTTTCTATGGGGCCTTTTACAGATATCTGAGAGGTGGGTTAACCAATACCCACCCAACAAAGCAGTTTGACACGCCAAATTTACATGCTACCACCAGGAACATATGAGATCTAATTCCGACGGTTCGACAACTCCTATGCAACATAGGATGAATTGTCCTACTACGGCGGCATGGCTGAAGTCGTTGAACCATGAAATCTGATCAATCATGCATTGGGATTGCTGAGAGGCCTAATCAAGTGCTATTGCGCGCTGGTGCTGCACTATTGACGCTCTGATGCTCTCACCTGCAAAAGGTTAGATAGACTGTCATTATCTAGCACAAAAGAAAGGATGCTCCAGCAGAAAAAGGTGCAAGCAGGCAACAGAGAATATTCTTCTGGCATATTTGTGTCAACACATACGAACCTGCAACTAGCTACTTCCACATCTGTGTAATTAGCAAGTAAAATGCTACTACTTGGAAAGCTATCATTCTGCAGATAATTCAGTGAGCTCCTAAAACTAGCTCATTGCTCAGTTGTTAATACTATCTGGAGAGGATTTTTTTTATATATTAATGGACTATCCTCACAGTTAGACTGTTGTTGGGATAATTTTATTAGCTTCTCTATGAACTACCTCGTTCTAAATAAAACTCTACAAAGGGACAAGTCAGCAATAAAATGATGGTTTCATTTAATCCAGCACAAAACCCAAGAAATGGTTGGCTATTCATCAACAACATTAACAAAGCTGATCAATTATGAACAAAATTCAAATGATCTTTCCTAACACTAAGACACTAGAAGCAACTGTACCTTTTGAACCACTTTGGTTTGGCTGATTTCTTATTTGCTGCTGCTGGTGCAGAATCAGATTGGAATGCATAAGACTGATGAGCTGAATCAGAATTTGTCTTTGAATCATCAGGTTGGTCAGAAGGTTCCGACTGAAGTGACAGTCCATCCAAAGTTCGAATTTCTTCACGGAGATATGGTCCGGATTTTACAGCATCTGTATTTAACTCCGACCCTGCATGCCACACGTGAATACCTCTAAAAACATGTCGATATCTGAACCAACAACATTGATTTAACATTAACAAGAATGAATTGCGTTGTTCAATGCCCTATGGCAAGCTCATGAATATGCATATGACTAACAAGAGTCAAATGCTGAAATAGAATAGGTAATCATGATGTGTGACCGTCTTTGAATGCACCAGAAACACAACTTTATATACATGGAAAATGCATTTTTGTCAAGACATGCAAAAATAAAATGCTATAAAACTCAAGCTAAGAAGTAAATATAGCTTATTTCCTCGTCATGATGCTAGTTTTTAAGATAATACATACCTTCTGGCAGATCATAAGAAAAGAAGACATTAGCTCCAGGAACAAAGCCAATTGTGTAGAAGTCCTGCGAGGTGTCCATTATTCGCTTCTTTGGAGGAACTGTGTCTGTTGTGGAGTCAATAAAAATGATATTAAGATGTTGTAACTGGTACATCTCTAATACACGACTACAGATGATCTATGAAAATCCCAAGTGAAAACTGAAAAGTTCAATTGATGGATACTAGAGGATCCTCAGACTTTTACAAGTTCAAGCAAAGGTAATATGGAATATGGGTTCCAGGGCAGATATTCTATCTAAAACATGCAACATCAAGCTGACAACAATTTGGACACTGGTGATATTCAAATCAAGGGCACAAGAAAACGATAATGTGACCAAGCTTGTCAAAAGACCACACAATCAGAGCACTTTCACATTTGGGTACTTGGGAGCTCAACAAGTCGGTGCTGTGAATAGTTGCATGCCAAACTGTTTTGATTAATTTATAGCACTTCATAACAATCGATTAATAAAAATATGTAAAACCCTTTGCTCAGAGCACTGAAATTTTGTTCACATGATGCTAGACCATCGAACTATTTATAGGACACTAGTTGTTTTCCTGTTTGTCATGATTGTCAACATATACGTTTGCTACTCATACACAAATGTTTTATCATTGGTAACACTGAGCCAATCTTAACCGAACCAGGGTGAAATAAAAGGAACTGGTGAACAGGAAACGAGGAGAGGAAAATATTACTTGTCAAACTCTACATCATCTGAAAAGAGAAGTGGGACTTACAAAGATAGAATGGCAGGTCTTTTCTAGCAATTACTTTCATGAGAAGATCCACCAGACTATGTACCGTCTCTGATGGATGGAACTCAGCCTCAAGAATGTAACCATCAGGGAATCGAACCCTCGCCACTGCCTACAGTTAAGAAGGTTAGCAACAAAATGGAATTTGCCCTGAAACTAGATTCAGAGAGGGACGGACAAATAAACCAATTAAATGAGGATGAGACAGGGAACTTTCTACTACTAAATTAGTAATCTGAATTAATAAGGAAAGGCAAAAGAAGCTACTTTGAAATATAAATAATCCAAACTATGTGCATCATTTGAAGTATTTCTTCATAGGATTTCACATGCCAGCAGCTAGACTTTGCAGATATATTTATTCTACGAAACAAATTTTCCCATAGAACATGTCCGGAGGTACTGTTAACATAAGGCTAGATAAAATCAATAAGCAAAATACAATGAGCTAGAAGATGAAAAGTAGTATTAGTACAAGGGCTATGCCACTCCTACATAATCATAATAATTAAACAATAGCATAGTGCATCATATTCTTTCCTACCTTTGTTAGCCTTGCTCGTTGAGCAGCAAGTTCTGCTTCCCTTATTTTACGAGTCTTCAGAACTTTCGATTGTTCTGCAAGGTGTCAAATTTTAAACATGGTTACAGTTAAGAAATTAGAAAGCTTGGACAATGCCAAGTAGGATGTTTAAGTAATAAATGTAAATGTTCCCAGACAATATTAAGAGAGTATTTAAGTAACCTGCAAGCCTATTTGAAATCAACTTGTAATAATCACTAGGCTGAAGCTCATAAAAGTCATCGTCTTCCTCTGCATGAATCATGCTTTCATGTCACAATGCAATTACCATAAAGACACATAATAGAATTGAGTAAAGCAAAAGTAAGTAAAAAGATTTACCCTGATCTGCCTTGGACAATTTGCTAGTCATTAGCTCAAATGTTGTGCTTGTAAATATCCGGATGTCATGTCCAAGCTCTTGTGACACTGCTTTCAGCTTGTCCTGTGATTTTGAAGAAAATGTAGTTGTCAGACTTCATTTTACGTTTTACTTTTCTATTCATGGAAAATCATAAACACAGAGGTTCTGACCAAAGAAGAACAGTCTTTCATGGGCAGATGAATACAAATGCTACGACTGATTGTTTTACACTTCATATAATTATCAACCTATCGATGATTTGGACACAAAGTATAAACCAACGGCCTGAGCAGAAAAGTCTAAAGACTAATAATCATGGGTGCTTATTCGAAAAAGGATCAATGTGAGAAAAAATACGGCACAAAAATGTATTCCAGATGAAACCATAGACGTCTTTCTGAAGTTCAAAGACATCTCTCAATCATATTTGACACCAGAGGGCACACAATTACGAATAATTGAGCATCTATCAGAAGGAAAACAAAAGAGTATTGATGTTGTCAATAACAAGTTGACAGCATGTAGGTTTCAGCCATTACGGTGTTTTGCAGAGCACCTGGCAGCCTCCCTCCAAACTTCTCCCAAGATACAGTACTGCTTTTCTGCCAATCAACCGATAACCATACACGCCTAGCACGAGCAAGGCATTGTAAGAACATAAAGAGCTTCATGTAGACGAGGCTACAGATGGCACCTAAACCTCTCATGGCCATCAATGTTCATACAGACAGAATCTCTCAAATGCAAACCTAGAGGCTACAACATACCGTGGTAAACGCTAATCCTTCAGTTTCAAGTATGTTGGCAAGAATCTCACACAAAGAAACAATAACAGGCACTTCCTTTGCTGGGATCTACAAAATCTTTGGACCTTAACAGATCTACGGAGCCTATTTCCCCCCTTGAAATCTCGTGCTGCCAACAGCAATAAAGACGAACCCTTATTTGAAAGAACCCATGGATTAAAACCTAGGTCAAAGAACTCGTCTTCCGCAAGGTATACTTCCAGCCAGGCGGATTCCCCAATCACCCATCATGCGGGTGTACAAGTAAAGAATCACTCCATACACAAAGTTGGCGAGTAAAGAAGCATCAAGAACTGCAATTTCTAGCACAACGCGCCAATGCCCACGAACCAGCGCACCATCGCGGCGCCCTTTCCAGCCAAGAACGCCCCGCTAAGATGCTAACCCCCACGCAAAGAATCCGGAAAGAGCGCGCCCACCGCCCGATCCCAGGAGCAAATCCTCGCTTTACCCCGCCCATCCCGCCGCCAAGAACTCCGCCCCACACCCAAGATCGCGCGGCCTTCACCGTGCCCATCCCGCCAAGAACTCCACCCCGCCAAGAACTCGCCCAAGAAACCCAAGAGACGGAGGCGCGGGAGGGAGGTAGGGAGGGGAGATGTACCGGAACCCGAGGCGGCGCCTGCTGCTCCGAGCGCGTCTCCTCCTCGTCGAGATCCATGGACAGCAGCAGCTCGAGCCCTCCCTCGTCCTCCTCCCTTTTCCGGCGCCTGGAGCAGAGGAGGAGAGGGTTTATTTGGGGGTACTCTGCCTCCATTGGGGTCGGATACGGCCTTCGCGGCACCGTCAGGGAACCGGCTTCGTGACGGGCACCGCGGGGGGGGAGGTGGGGCCTCCGCTGCAGGTCGGGTCAGGTCTGGTAAAGGTACTGGTGCTGGTGCATGCAGGCGCGTGACCGTAGCAGCCCCTTTTATACTGGTTTGTGTGTAGCACGGCGGGGGGCGCGGCCGGGTTGCGGAGGCTGACACCCCCGGGTCCCGGGCGAGGGGTGAATCTTTTCGCGGAAGATATCATTTTCTTTTTGCCAGATTTTCTTGGAAGATATGGAGGGGCCACAAAAGAACTGGCCCTGGGTGCTGTTTGGAACGCGGGTAAAATGTATCATTGGAATGATATAAAACATAGGAACGAGAAAGGAAAGTGTAGGTAAATCATAGGAATGGAAACTATTGAATACTATTCAATTGTTGGTGTGCGGGAAGTGAGGGTTCTTTAATTAATTTAAAGAGGGAAAGAAACTATGTTGATCGTTTCATTTGTAGGTTTAGATTTTTTTAGGATTTTTCTCTGAAGATTCATCTGCATTTTATTTTGAAAGAAAAGTACAGAAAAATCGAAGGAATGGAAGTGAGGTTCTTTGATTTAGTGCGTTTGGTTGCTGGGCTATCTCACCTGGAACAAGGGTAGCTATCTTTTGCCTGGACGCTAGTCGTTTGGTTCGTGAGTGAGCAAGAATATTACTACCCGGGTGCTGGGAATATTCCTTCCAAACGAGGCTCTGCGCCGCCGCGAAAATCTCACACACATAGGCACCGCGCGCACGCGACGTAGAGGCAACCTGTGAAACGTTTTCACGCCCCTCTCGTGTCGTTCACCTCCCACAAAAAAGTCAACCATATCCCTTCCCCCTCCATCTCAGCATGGGCGTTCAACTTTACCCAAAAATTTGGGGCGGGTAAATTGGCATCCTAAATTTTCTAGAAAAAAATAGCTACCACACAATTCGGGCGCCCGAAAATTTGGGTTCGGGCAGTCCTAATTACCCAAAGTACAACACAGTGATAAAATAATTGGCGCTAGATGTGGAACTGTCAAAGAAGGAGGGCACGGGTTGGTTGTCGTGTCGCATCAGAGAAGATGGAGGCTTATCTCGTCGCTGGAGCTCATTGTTGGGGAACGTTGCATGAAAAACAAAAAAATTATGCGCACACGCAAGATCTATCCATGGAGATGCATAGCTACGAGAGGGGGGGAGCATCTACATACTCTTATATATCACCAAGCGGAAGCGTTTATCAACGCGGTTGATGTAGTCGTACTCTTTGTGATCCTATCACGATCCAACCGATCTAGTGCCGAACGGACGGCACCTCCGAGTTTAGCACACGTGCGGCTCGATGACATCTCCTTCTTCTTGATCCAGCAAGCGGGAGAGGAGAAGTAGATGGGATCAAAACCAACACGATGCCGTGGTGGTGATGGTGATGGTGGAGCATCGACAGCGCTTCGCTAAGTGATACGTCTCCATCGTGTCTGAAGGAAATATGCCCTAGAGGCAATAATAAAGTTGTTATTTATATTTCCTTATATCATGATAAATGTTTATTATTCATGCTAGAATTGTATTAACCGAAAACTTAATACATGTGTGAATACATAGACAAACAGAATGTCACTAGTATGCCTCTACTTGACTAGCTCGTTAATCAAACATGGTTAAGTTTCCTAGCCATGGACAAAGAGTTGTCATTTGATGAACGGGATCACATCATTAGAGAATGACGTGATTGACTTGACCCACCCGTTAGCTTAGCACGATAATCGTTTAGTTTATTGCTATTGCTTTCTTCATAACTTGTTCCTATGACTATGAGATTATGCAACTCCCGAATACCGGAGGAACACTTAGTGTTCTATCAAACGTCACAACGTAACTGGGTGATTATAAAGATGCTCTCCAGGTGTCTTCGATGGTGTTTGTTGAGTTGGCATATATCGAAATTATGATTTGTCACTCCGAGTATTGGAGAGGTATCTTTGGGCCCTCTCGGTAATGCACATCACTATAAGCCTTGCAAGCATTGTGACTAATGAGTTAGTTGCGGGATTGTGACGCTCCCGATTCAATCGTACACTAATCATACACGCAAATGTGTACGATCAGGATCAAGGACTCACGAGAAGATATCACAACACAACTCTAGACACAAATTAAAATAATACAAGCTTTATATTACAAGCTAAGGGCCTCGAGGGCTCGAATCATAAGCTCAAAAACACAAGAGTCAGCGGAAGCAACAATATCTGAGTACAGACATAAGTTAGACAAGTTTGCCTTAAGAAGGCTAGCACAAAAGCAACATCGATCGAAAAGGCAAGGCCTCCTGCCTGGGAGCCTCCTAACTACTCCTGGTCGTCGGCGGCCTCCACGTAGTAGTAGGCATCGGCGGTGGCATCTGGCTCCTGGGCTCCGACATCTAGTTGCATCAACCGGAAAGAAGAAGAAAGGGGGAAAGGGGGAGCAAAGCAACCGTGAGTACTCATCCAAAGTACTCGCAAGATAGGATCTACACTACATATGCATCCGTGTCAATGAAATGGGTAGTATATGTGGACTGAACTGCAGAATGCCAGAAGAGAAGGGGAAAGCCTAGCCTGTCAAAGACTAGCATCTTCAAGCAGCTCCAAGCATCTTGCAGCATCAGAAGAGATAAGAGTAGCATAAAGTAAAGTAGTAGTAGTGTTATCAACCTCGATCAGAGATCCTTTCTCGACTCCCTACGAGAAAGCAATCCCAGAGCCATACTATCCATTTCTCATATCCATTTCTCATCTCAAGTACCCAGTTCTAGTTGTATCGATCGGGATACAACTCCAAGTGTCCGTTACCATAGGACAGGCTATCGATAAATGTCTTCTTCCCTGTAGGGGTGCATCAACTTACCCACCACGCTCGATTAACTCCGGCCGGACACACTTTCCTGGGTCATGTCCGGCCTCGGCCAAACAATACGCCGCAACCCGACCTAGGCTTAATATAGAGAGGTCAGCACGCCGAACTAAACCTATGCCCCCAGGGGTCATGGGCCATCTCCCCGGGAACTCCTGCACGTTGAGTATGCGGCCAGTGAGCAGACCTAGCTACCTCCTTCAAAAAGGCAGGTACTTACGCAGTCCAACCCAGCGCGCGCCGCTCAGTCGCTGACGTCTATTAAGCTTCGGCTGATGTATACGACGCAGAATGCCCATACTATGCCCACGTGATGGTTAGTGCTATCAGGCCAGAGGCCCTGCTACCTCTTAAGCACTGCATTGGATTTCCCCGAAGAGGAGAGGATGATGCAGCAAAGTAGCGTAAGTATTTCCCTCAGTTTTTGAGAACCAAGGTATCAATCCAGTAGGAGACCACGCACAAGTCCCTCGTACCTGCACAAAATGATAGCTACTCGCAACCAACACGATTAGGGGTTGTCAATCCCTTCACGGTCACTTACGAGAGTGAGATCTGATAGAGATGATAAATAATATTTTTGGTATTTTTGATAGATAGATGCAAGGTGAAAAGTAAAAGGCGAAGTAAAAACAAAGCAAGTAATAAAGCGATAGAGATTGATATGATGAGAATAGACCCGGGGGCCATAAGTTTCACTGGTGGCTTCTCTCAAGAGCATATATTTTCTACGGTGGGTGAACAAATTACTATTGAGTAATTGACAAAACTGAGCATAGTTATGAGTATATCTAGGCAATGATCATGTATATAGGCATCACGTCCGAGACAAGTAGATCGAAACGATTCTGCATCTACTACTATTACTCCACTCATCGACCGCTATCCATCATGCATCTAGAGTATTAAGTTAAAAACAGAGTAACGCCTTAAGCAAGATGACATGATGTAGAGGGATAAATTCATGCAATATGATAAAAACCCCATCTTGTTATCCTCGATGGCAATAATACAATACGTGCCTTGTTGCCCCTTCTGTCACTGGGAAAGGACACCGCAAGATTGAACCCAAAGCTAAGCACTTCTCCCATTGCAAGAACTACCAATCTAGTTGGCCAAACCAAAAAGGATAATTCGAAGAGACTTGCAAAGATAACTCAATCATACATAAAAGAATTCAGAGAAGATTCAAATATTTTCCATAGATAAACTGGATCATAAACCCACAATTCATCGGTCTCAACAAACACACCGCAAAAAGAAGATTACATCGAATAGATCTCCACGAGAGAGGGGGAGAACATTGTATTGAGATCCAAAAAGAGAGAAGAAGCCATCTAGCTACTAGCTATGGACCCGAAGGTCTGAAGTAAACTACTCACACTTCATCGGAGGGGCTATGGTGTTGATGTAGAAGCCCTCCGTGGTGGATGCCCCCTCCGGCAGAGCTCCGGAACAGGCCCCAAGATGGGATCTCGTGGATATAGAAGGTTGCAGCGGTGGAATTAGGTTTTTGGCTCCTCCTTGATTGTTTGGGGATACGTAGGTATATATAGGAGGAAGGAGTACGTCGGTGGAGCAACAGGGGGCCCATGAGGTAGGGGGGCGCGCCCAGGGGGGCGCACCCTCCACCCTCATGACCGCCTCTGGCACTTCTTGGAGTAGGGTCCAAGTCTCCTGGATCACGTTCGGTGAGAAAATCACATTTCTGAAGGTTTCATTCCGTTTGGACTCCGTTTGATATTTCGTTTCTTCGAAACACTGAAATAGGCAAAAACAGCAATTCTGGGCTGGGCCTCCGGTTAATAGGTTAGTCCCAAAAATAATATAAAAGTAGAAAATAAAGCCCAATATAGTCCAAAACAGTATATAAAGTAGCATGGAGTAATTAAAAATTATAGATATGTTGGAGACGTATCAGGCATCCCCAAGCTTAATTCCTGCTCGTCCTCGAGTAGGTAAAGATAAAAAAGAATTTTTGATGCGGAGTGATACTTTGGCATAATTTCAATGTAAATCTTCTTAATTGTGATATGAATATTCAGATCCGAAAGATTCAAGACAAAAGTTCATATTGACACAAAAAT